ACGTGATGTCTCCATCTTCAGTAATGAAAGACTAAAGGTCTACCTTGAATATAGAGACAGCATGTTGATCTGAAACGTTGGCATCATTTTTCTTATCACCGTAAAAACCTCGAATCTCATAGACAGTGATATAGTCTTTAAACTAAATGCAGTTGTTAAATACCTACTTCACGATTTAGTTTCTCGAACGAAGTAATGGCATTTATTCCACGCCAGACGTATTGGTTGTGCCGCCGTGGCTTTGTTTAAAGAAACAGGTAGTGGCAGTTTATTCAAAACGGATATAATCTTGTATCGCCAGGCTCTCGTGTCCGAACGCGGGGCGAACCGCAATAAAGTGAAGGTTATGGATAAACGAGAGCATCGAGCGTACAACTTCTTTGGTTTTCAAGAAATGTGACGTTATAAGTCGAGAGGAGTCACTTAGAATTGGGCCTATGACTGGCGATAACCGCTAGTCCTTTCAAATTCATCGAGATACAAGAAATACACTGCATATTCGTGGTCGAAGAAATATAGTAAAACTGAGTAGCCAGGGATGACTAAATTACGGTAGCAAAAGACTCATTCCGTCATCTGCTGTTGACAGTATGTGAAGTTGTACATTTAAATAAAATTAATTAATAAATAAACAATAACTGTCTGGTGTATGATGAAAACAGGAGTTTTTGGGTCGATGAACATGTAGGCATTTACAATTTTAATTTAATATAGGCACATGAAAGGTGGTGAGATTTGAGTAAGGCCCACTCTGCAGTTCATTTAGTACGTCTTGACATCTTGAGTAAAACCATCAGTGTCCGAATTAGTAACAGTATAAAGATTTCTGTCTTCTGGGTTGTTGCGCTGTGTAGTCTGGTAGATGTTTACCAACGTTTCAGAGGTCGTACTGCCTCCGTCATCAGGGCGATCTCATCTACCGTACCAGAAATTATAAAAGTAGAATGTTCTTCGAACTCAGAGTAAAATGTGCTGTTGCGGATTGTTTAAAGTGCCTTCCGTAATTATGTGATCTTGTTGCCAGGGGTGTGCCTGGCTGAAAGTGAGAGCGGGCTGAACTCCAATGTAGTGGGAAGTGTAAACAGAGACGGAAGCCTAGACAATGGAATATTCCAGGTAAGGCAACAGCTTTTTAGGTTTCGGTGCCTGTGAATAAATTCATAACAGTTGAATCGGACTGTATTGCGTAGGAAATTAATTAGTTAATAGTTAGATATATTACAGCTTAAACATCAATTGACATACTTATCTGGTTTTAAATCTTATTGGCATTTTCTTTTCAGATCAACAACAGATATTGGTGTAAAAATGGGCGCAAGGGTGGAGATTGTAATATTAAGTGCGAAGGTGAGTTTTTGAAGTTAAGCAGTGGGTTAGTACACATGTAAAGTTTCCCCTATTGAAAATTAACACTTTCCACGTGGAAACACTTATTCTAGAATCTTGGTACGCAGGAGAATGTCCCACGTACCCACTTGATAGAGGCTGAGTAGTGGACCACAGAAGTGTACTGGGCCGACGTTGGTTAAATAGCAACGCGTTAGCGCCACAGGAAATGTATAAGGCAACACTGAGTTTAGTTTGTCTACATAAGGACACACTAATGAAGGTCTAACAAGGACGAACACTGAGAATATAATTTTAAGAATGCATATAAGCTGTTTTCAAATGCGATCTTTGCGTTTGAGCATAACTCTTTGACTTCGATGTTCTTTTAGGCCTATTGCAGATATAAATGTGTTACAGCAAAACTAATCAACTGAAACTACACAACATGACCAGAAAATATTATATTCTTTGTATTTTGTTAAATATTATGCAGTCACAGACAGCCGATAAGGGGTGGTCTTCAAGAATAGTATTTTTGTCACGGATGGACAGATGGTCGCATTGATATGTTTGATTCGTTATTTAGTTTCCATTTGAGATGAAGGCGATTGGATTTTGCTGACTCAGGACAGGGACCGGTGCAGGGCTTTGGTTAATTCGGTGATGAAGTTTCGGGTTCCATAAGCCATCTAGTTACTTTACTTAGTTTCCATGAAGAAAACGCGTTCCTTTGGGTCCATCAAAATATTCATTACCTGACAACATAATTCATGTTAGTTTCTTTATGATCAATTTACTTCTCGTATAGCGATAAAAAGAAACTTCCCCTGTTTATATTACGACGCTGAATCATCTGTTTAGATGTTGCATCATGAAAATAAATAACTGACTCAATTGTGTAAGATATTACCTCCAAAATCGATATCTAACTTACTCGGCGGATTAAGAAATCTACTGCTCTTAGAAACGATAATTGTCAAGCGTTTACGTCGTATATTAGTTACACTAGTGAAGATTCTTGTAGGCTACGGTGGAATGGTGCAAGGTATGAACTCGAATGTTTGCGTGTAATCTGTTAAATATTGACCTACGTTTCAGAGAAGCTTGCAGTATTCATTATCAGGGCGATCTCTCAACATGCCAGACGATAACCATCTCCATCTTCACTCTGAAGTTTTGTTTAAGGCGGCGGTTGTAGCCTGTTCTAAAATGTTGTTCCAGCCAACATTTACCTGAATTCGAGGAAAATTACAAAAACTTTCATTCAGGGTTCTGAAGCGCCTATTATACTCACCACTGCCATATGCTGGTGTAATTGGAGTTACTTAGACTGCGCCCAGTGTATTCCGTCTTATAGAATGTACCAGAACCTAAATGAGATTATTTGTAGTCGATTCACGTCTGCCTGCGGCGGTATGTGGGAGTTTTGTATATGGTTGAATGGGTGGAACTCTTCAGAAAGTTAGATGGTGTAGGGTAATCAAACAGGCATACAGACTGACACAAGAAACGAGCTCTTTTTTCGGTGGCGCCGTTGTCTGTCGTTCTGCAGATGGTCATATTTCAACATTCTTTATGCGACGGAGCGCTGAATTTAAGTCCCATATCTCGCTGTACACCAGGTCATGTTTGAGTGTTACTCTGAAGTTGTGAGTGTATACATAACTGTGTTAACATTATTCTTTGCACTTCGTTATACAGAATGATCCTTTTGCAAAAGGCCCCAGACTTTCAGCGATAAAACCACCACCGTGTATTCACCAATTGTGTTGAAATATTGTAGGTACATTTCTCAGGCCTTGTAAAACTACACCCTGTCACATAGGCGTTGTGAACCAGAGAATTAATCTTACGTTTTCATAAAAGGTTAGGAGTTTCTATACCAACTTAAGATTATTGGTTTCTGAAAAGGCCTGTTTCCATGTAATTATTAACTATTCTTCTTAACAAGAATTAGGTTTATAGCTGACAAATTCCATGTTTAAACGTCACAGAAAAATCGTACAACGTTGCAGCAGAGCCGAAACTAATAACGACAGCTCATAACTCGCACCATAGCAAAGCTAGCAACGCTATATCGCTGACTAAGGGGCGGGCAAAGTCTTTCCATGGCCTTGAAGCACGCAGTTTGGTGACATTGATTCGAGAGGAATACTCGGTGAAGGAAATGGCTGTCTTCTGGGTTGTTGCGCCGTGTAAGCTGGTAGAAGTTTAGTGACGTTTTATAGGTGCTTGCTGCCTCCACCATCAGGACGATGCTATTCATCGCCATCTTCATACTAGCCGCCTTTAGAACCTGAAGTTTCACAAACGGCCCTGAGTTGGAATAGCCGCCAGTAACATGACGTGTAGTCACATTTGACATAAATCCGTGATATTCCTTCTTAGGAGGCAAACACAGGCCATAATGCGAACACAAACCTATTTTTTATTTTGTTTGGAAAAAATGTGGGGAAAATGGACATTATTTTGATAAGTTTACAGTGTGATTATTAAGAGTGTTGTTGGACCAATGAATGCATTGAGGTATGTGCAGTGAAAAGTACATAAATGCCCATTCAATTGAATTGATGTTTCAGACTTGAAGAATGACAACATTGCCGATGATATTGGGTGCGCCAAGAAGATTTACAAGCGTCATGGCTTCAATGCTTGGTACGGTTGGCGCAGTAAGTGCCAGTCGGGGCTACCCGACCTGTCCAAGTGCAGAATCTGAATAAATCAAAGGATTATTCCACGCCTTTCATAATTTATTCACATAAATCTTCTTTATTGTGCAAGTGTAGGCCTACTTTATTCAGGATGGAGTGGATATGAACCCAAGTAAAGGAATCGAGTGACAAGCCAATAGCCATGTTCAGTTTTTACTAACAATTAAATTACTTACGAAATGTAGACGTGCAATCATGCACTAACGCCTGTGAAACACTTTAAACGTAACACTATACTCGTACAATCTATTACTTTACGTTACTTATATTCTAATTACGTTTATTTTAAAAACAAAGGACATGCGTGAATGGAATTGTCAATCTAAGGTCAGTTTGTCCTTAGCTTATTTGTTAAGCATTGTTAGACTTATGTCGACTCCATAAACAATGTAAACAAAGTAAAAATACAATCATATGTGTTGTCAGAATCTTTATAAAATATATTATTTGTGATATTACATCTGTTGTTAAATTATTATGGTAATAATTATCAGTTCTCCTTACGTGGTCTGCTGAATGTGCCAGTGTACGGCAGATATGTCAAACTGAGTGCTTAAGAAGTGTCGCTTAAAATGTGGGTGATTGTCCCTGAGGGACGTCACATGGGTGGAGAGAATCATAAGAGCCTGATTTTTCAGTTCAAAGCTTAAGCTTTAGATAAATTTTTCGAGCCTTTATATTTTTGTATAGGCCTACGCAGATGTGAATTTAATTGAAATGCATTTGCACTTTATTTAATTGAAATATGAAACGACTGTACACAAGCAGCTACTTGATATGCTTTTGAACCTTGAAATTTATAGAAACTGGGACGTTTGTGCCAGTTCATCGTGTACAATTCCGGAAATGAACTGGCCCGCATAAAGAGGGCACCGATTTTAACTTTCCTGATGTGTTGGATATCATTCCCTTTTTGTTTTATATTCTTTCTTTATTCCCATTTTTAATTGTTCCATTCTCTGTTTTTTCTATTTTTTGTCTCTTATTTTCCCTTCTCTCTTCGTCTTTTTCTTATCTTTTTATTATTTCCATCGTTCTGAAGTGTTTACGGTCAAATCCGGTAGAACGCACGCAGCTTGGAGCTATAATTAATTACGCATACAAACAAGTATTAGTTTTACCATCGCCGTAACATCCATTGACAGAACGTTCGTCAGACGAGGAGTTGGTATATTTGGAAGTTACCCGTTCCTGAAGAGGTTACGTATTTGCTATTGTTCGGTATAATGACGTCACGAACGTCCCGAGGGCTGAGTGAAGTCTCATTGTTGCATTCCTCGTGAGTGCTTTCACGTGGAGGGGCAGACCGCCCGCAGAGTGGCGACACGGCACAGTGATTCAATACTCACTGGTTCTTAATGACCAGACAAGTGTTTAAACTTTTATTACTATTTTGCCTTTTGCAATGACGTAACTTCAGGCCGGGACGTGGCGTTTACCACTCGCGTCTGTCTACTGCCGATGTTAGGACTGTGTGGAGATATACCTCCACTCCCCTAGACGTCTAGCAGTCTTGAAATTTGTCATCTTTATCTCATATTAAAATATCAAATCGAAGGGTAATTGGCGGGTTGTGTAGCATGAAATATATTAAAAACTTAATAAACTCTTTGAAAGAAGTCACATGGGAGACCTAAGCGTAGATGAGAGGATAATTTACTTCTTTCTTCCAATATCTGACTACTTCGCCAATGGTGTAGGGACCCCGTAACTGATAGGTGTATACGATTTGGTACCTTTCGTCGCAAATTACTATTACGCCTTAAATATACACCAAACGGCCCACAAGTTTCATAAATCTACCAGAAAAAATGTTTTCGGATGGGTCATTTGCAAATGTTGCACCGCCTTATCTGTGACTGACGCTTATTTCAAATACACATTTACCAATGCTGAGTTATCGGTTGCTCCTGATTCCATGATCAGTCTACTTTTTAACCTGGAAACACGAATGCATTAAACAAGCAATATGAAAAATACTCTTTTGCGTCGTTTTGAATCTTTACAGCCATTCGTAAATTTTCCTTTGTGTCACATAGCCTACTTGCCGCCTTACTGAATTGCCATTCGTTTGTAAATTACACAAGTTCTCGCACTCTCTGATCGCAAAAATTGGATCGCGGGCCACCGTACTTTTAGTGCACTTTGTTAATGGTCCAACCAAAAAGCGCGTCACGCTGTTAATATTACTTAGACAATGAAAGCTAAGTGTGGGCAAATGTGTGATATTTCATACGTATTTCCGTCATATTTTTCCATGACATCAACATCTCTTTTTGAGATTAAACTTTACTTCACCTTTTGGCTTTCCCACGTAATAGGTTTTGAAGTCGTGGAGCGTATTCAACTGGTTCATGTAAGAGTTCATTGGCAAGGTTTCGTATTGGCGGCAACGTTCAGTACAGATGTACCCCGATTTACGCTTTGAGCTTATGTAATCCCATATTCATATGTCCGAATGCCTCTTGCACTATTTATTTACTGGTAGAATAACCATCAGTGAATTAAAAACACTTTAGGCCTATACCATATTTTTAATAAAGAATGTCCAATTACTTGTTTGTTTAATTTCTTGGTTAGTTTGACTATTCATTTGCTTGTTCACTCATTTAATTAGAGTTACTTAACTTGATGGTTGTTTAGTTAGTTGGTTTCGAATCTTCTCATTGTTTTGAGGTTGCTCTTCTGAGATCGCGCAAAACGTGAAATTCTGTGTAAACACGAGATGTCGCTGGGATCGGTATTCATGGCGCGGCCGGTGGGAGGAACAAGCGAGGCTGAGGCACATCTGGTGTCACTTTTCAGCGAAGAAGACATTAGTCGCACAGAAGGGCAATTATTCCTTCAGCAAAGCATGCTTTTACATGAGTGACATGAGGTCATGGCGAGAGGGGGTATGGTCTGACAATACACATCCTGTCGCCCAATAGCGAGAGGGCTGTTACCCCGCCTTAGTCCTGTACAAGAAGGGTTGGAGTTGTCAGCATCTAGAACTGGAGGGGACTTGACAAAGAGCTGCAGGCTGTTCTTCCCTCGGTGAATTATAATTGGTCGCTTTTCAAATTGGCCAGGTGCTTCAAGATGTAAGTAGGTTGATTTACTGCGTAGCTGTGCACACCCGCATGCTGCCTACCATTGCACCACTCGCATATGAGGTCAAAGCGGCGCTGAAGTTGATGGTGCTCTTTTGGGTTTCGGCGCCGTGTAGAATCGTCGGGCTCAGGATTTCAGACCTGAAGCCCTGAAGATGGAAATAGTACTTTTCTCCTTAACGTCCCCATCTACTGACGAGTCTACACGGTGCCGAAACCCATAAGAACAACGCCATATTATTAATGTTTCACCCTCAAGGATATGTAGCCAAATTAATGAGAGCGATCATCCAGCTATGTTGGTGTGGTGACGTACATATGTCTCCAGGTCTTTTGACCATCCTGTCCTCTTTCTGTCAAGCTTAGGGTGTGGGAGGAAATCCACATTTCAGGCGGAATCCATTTTGCTCGTCGAAGATGGGATGGTAGTAATGATGCTGCTGCTGATGATGATGGCCAGCAGAAGGAACCTACCTTTTCCTTAACATTTGATACAGTCACGATGGGAACTGGTGCATGTCACATTCACAAAATTTGACTTCGTCAGATCTGTGGGAGGGGACAGTCATGCGTAAAATCGCATTGGATCAGCTGGTTTGGAATCTGAGGGGCTCTGAGACATGACAATAAAACGATGGAGGATAATAATAGAGGTTGTCGTCATTGTGCGTAGTGAAAGAGGGACGGTAATGCGCAAAGAAATAAGACAAAAATGTATAATAAGAAGCTTCAAAATTGTTCTCTTCACTAGATGGTCTGTTATTAGAGTGATAATATTAAAATGAGAAGAGAGAGCACGAATGAGGAAACGGGAAATACATAAATATTTTAGTCGGGAAATCTGAAGGGAATATACTAATTGGGAGGATAATATTGAAGTGAATCCTTAGGGAATAGTGTATTGACTTGATTCAGTTCTCACTGAGGATAAGGCCCAATGGCGTAATTGTGTGAAAACGATAATGAGCCGTCCGGTTCCTTGACCACCTGAACCACTATTAGTTTCTCAAGAAGGATTCATCAGTTGTGATACGTTGTAGGCTAACTTGAGAGTAGATTTTAAAGTAGCAACCACCTCACCTATATTTTTTACTTCATGTAGGCGTATTCAGTTCTGTCATCCATTAACGACCGGAAAAGTAACTATAACGGAGTACAAAGATGCATTCCACTTTGGTGTGCACAGACATTTTTGTGTTAATTGCGACTTCTGAGGCCCAGTCTTTCATTTATTGGACGTATAAGTGTTCTGTACCTACATGCAGCTAATAAACAGAAGACATACAGCACCACATGGGCCCAAAAGTTAGTTCGTCCATCTGCAGTATAGACCTCTATGGGAAAATTAATAGAAATGTTTCAAGTGATTTGGTAGATAAAACATGTACAGAGACAGAGATACAAGTATTCCCCACATATTACGCTCAACGTTTATACTCTGTTCAATTTACTAAAAGAAAGGGTGGAAAAATACGGCCACATGACTACAGCCATCCATTTTAATATTATCCTCCCATATAGCCTACGCCTGGGTATCCAAAGTGGTCTCATTCCTTGAAGTTTTCCTACTACAATTTTGTATACAATTCCTACCTCTGCCATGCGTGCCGCTTGTCTCACCCATCTCGTTCTTGGGGTTTAGTCGCCCTAATAAAGGGAACAGAAAGAGAGAGTTACTTTCTACAAAAGGTGCAGACATGTTCTTAAATAGCAGATTTGTCCACGCGATCGACTGTAGCAGCCCCACCCTCTTCTGCTCCTCTGCTTTACAGTTTATGCTGCATGGTTCAAATTTCCGTAAACCTGAAACTTGCACTATTTTGTACTTAGTATCTTGTTAAGTCACGTCGAAGCATGTTACCTGCCACCTGTGTTTCAAAGTAGGCGACGCGTGAACTGGAAACGTAATTCTAAGTGCCTTGTTTAGCAAATAGGAGAAGTCCTACACAAAACATGAAACCATTACACATTACATTGCAGTCGATACGATACATCACTTACCATAAACCTACATTTAAAAATATACATCTTTACATAAGTTATGTATGCACAACTTAAAAAGCAAGTAGGCTATGTACATTGTCTCTTGTTTTGACCTATGCATGTATATGCCTACATGTATACACCCACACATTTCCTGAAATGTAGGCCTATTAAGCTGTTTCGGAGCGGAAACGTTTGAATGACCGAAAATTACTTCTGTGCTCTGTGCTAACTTGTAAAGAACGTGATGTAAGAACAAAATCCTAGTTGTCGCGAACTATTTAACGTTTTGTAAGAGAATAAATAGACTTTCTCATGAAGATCGCAGTCTTCTGGGTTGTTGCGCCGTGTAGTCTGGTAGAAGTTTACCGACGTTTCAGATGTCCTTGCTGCCCCCATCATCAGGGCAATCGAGCAACAACCCAGAAGAAAGCCATCTTCAGACTCACCGCCGTGAAAACCTCAAATCCTACAGACTTTAATCTTTCTCCGTACCCATTTGTTTTTGTTGTCACTTTTAGAGGGTGAACCGAGAGATAAAATAAAACTTATGTTAACTAGTGGAGAATAATAAGCTTTTACTTTCCTTCCATGTATAGGCCTAGCCTGAAAATTTATTTTCCATACACTTTATGTAGGAAGCAGCTTGCTTTGATGTATGGTAAGTTTTCTATTTTCGTCTTACCCCACAATTTAACAGTGGAAATTTATAACGTAAAAAATTGTTTTATGATTCGATTATACGACGTGTATGGGCCGTTTAGTTTCATTTATGAAAACAAATGTGTCGGCGCATTGTACGGAATGATAGTGAAATTAACTTAAGTTTGAGCAGTCGTTTCTGCTTCCCAGGTCTAATGTTTACATATGCTATTAAAATGACGCGTCAAACTGAGATAACTCTGGTTAAAAAGTAAAGAAATGTGTCATTAAATAAGATACTATACCCGAGATAACGCATGTCGAAAACGTATTCAAAATTTCAACGAATGTTATGAAATGTAACAAACAGATCATTGTAAAACTATCTCTTTGTTTTGTAAGTAAGAATGTAATGTTGGATATTACGTAATGAGGACTTCGTGATGCGCAAGTCAACTGCTTTAAGGCATCTAAACGAAAGAATCATGGACATTGCACAACTGATACGAATGACAGAACTGTCAAATAGATCAGAATCCTTAAAAGGTTGTATCTTGTATCCTGTTTATTATTTAGGTTACATCAGGAATGCATTTAGTGACGGGCTTTTCTGAAGTCGGTAATGAACTTTGTGGTTCCATAAAAACAGGAATTTTCGTAACGGGTTGAGTATCTAGCCTAAACTTTAAAAGCGACATTGCGTCATTAAGTTTGTTATGACAAAACGATTTATTCCCTGTGAGCTTATTTGATTTTTAAGTAAAAGTACGTACAGTCATTTGAAGTTAATGCAAATGTTCGGAAACACAATTTGTATAAACAGTTATTTAACGGATCAAAAAATTAAAAGATTCACATTTCTATCGCGAAGTTAATTAGCTCTGGCTACCAGACTACACGGCGCTGCCGTGAGAACCTGAAATCTCACTAACTCAGGTTGTGTTAGTAGGCTAATAAAGATGACAAGATGACGGTTTTGTAAATAAATTAGTTCTTTGTATTCGCTGAATATTCCTTGACACACCAGTTTTTAAATAATTCAATGTGGATTGGTTTACTAGTTGCGAGTTTTTATGGCTAGGTTTCGTCCTAGTTATCAGTATACTTGCATCCAGCTAGCGTCTTCTTAACAGAATCTGAGAGGTAAATCACAACAGTCGACGCTGAGACTAAATACAGCTCCATGAAGACGTATGCTCACGCCTTTTTATCTAGCTATCCGTAACTCAATTGCGTTATAAATGCACAAGTTGACGGCCAGGGAGGGGAAATGATAGCGCACAAGGCGCCTTGCTCCCTCTTTCCCCTTTCCACCTTCCCTTCCCCTCTTACTGAGACAACTCAGGCTCATAGATATTTTGCGTTCAGTAATACTGAATAGGTGGGAATGGTCGCCTTCATGAATCGACAGTCTGGAGCTGGACTTACCCTACACAAAATTGAACCAACCCGTCATTCAGCCTGTAACTTTAGTGACTGAGCTCTTTCGGTGACATAAAATTTCGTGCAGAATTTGTTAAGTGTGTTATTGATACATCTCATCGCGGGACACATCCGGTCCAAGGCCGCTTGTAATCAGGCCCATGATTTTTTTTTGTTAATTTGTTACCAGTTATGTCCACTGCATGCTTATTTATTTTCGTTGCTACGAAAGATGTGAGAGAAGAAATCGTGATTCTTATCTCGTCTGCAGCTTTACGTGCAGTTGCCACAAGTTACTGACTTCAAAACCTTGCCGTAAGTTTTCCAGGTAGAAAATGTGTCAGAGACAAGCTGCTACAGGAGCAAATTTAAAATAATATGTAGCCCTGTATTATTAATTTGTGCACATTTCAATTAAATTAATATTTGAGCTTATACAATATTAATTTTTCAATTCTGAATAAGTACTGTTAGGGATAAAGAAAGTTTTGTATTAGTTTGAAAACAGTGACATGAGGGTTTCTTTGCCCCGTTGGTCTAATGGGAAAACTGTTATTGGCCCTAGTGTAGAAACAATTGTACCACGGTGATATACCTCCACACCAAATTTCATTTGTATAGAACTATTGATTCATTGGTAGCAGATATCAAGTCAATGGCAACATGCAGATTTCGAAGTAGGAGATTGCCAAGTGGTAAGGTAAATTCTTTACTTATATTTTTGGAGCTACACCCTTTTTGAACGAAGCATTTCACTTGATGTGTGACCATGAGGAAGAATGTGGCCCTAAAGGCATAGGGAGTCTGTCCAACTATACTGCAGCCAGCGTTAATCGAGAAACACCACACAGTAGGGCCTACAATAGAATTCCTCGAAGTGTGAGTTCTTCTTATTGTTAGAGGCATAACACAATAACATTTTACGACATCGTCTCCTTCATTTTGAAATGGATGCTACGGCTGTGGGCATAATCGGTGCTCGTCGTAAATATATAGTCTGAGCAGGTTTGGCGATAAACCAGACTTATCAAGGTAACCAGCTACAGTTCTGTTCCCACAGCTCGGATGGAAAATGAAAATAGCTCTTTTGTCGATGTCAAACAAACAGGATACATATCCTGTCTGACAGGATTTCTTTTAGTACCACAACAAATTCTTTGCAGGAAATGTATGAAATGAACTTGTCCGTCGCTCTACATAGTTTCGCCTATGAAACTATTAGGAATATATTTATGAAATTTTGTAGGTCTGTTCGGGGTCTAAGCTAGCAGCATGATAAAGAAGCTGATTTAATTCTTATTAACCTATAAGCTGCTGTAAGAATGCATTTAAACTCAAAATATTGAGGTACATAAGCCGGAGAATAATCACAATAAGGCAGCATCATCAGGTAGAACAGGTGACCGGCGCTCACCTCCATGGTTTCTCATTTACTGGTGAAGTTGATGTGAAGAAAGGCAAACAAGTCCGTTGCGACTTAGGGGCAGGCGGCTGGCTGTTTGATGAGCGGCTCTCACTGATCCACATTTTGCTGACCCTCGCTTTCTTCATTCTGAAATCCCAGCTATCAAAAGGGGATCCTTGTCTTCTATTGCCGATAACGCCCGTCGCGGAGGCAGATGGGACAACCGTTGGAGCCAATATGTTAGATCAAAGAGGTGACAGCAGTGGCGTACCGAACCTGGCAACAAGATTCGCTTGGGTATCGCAGAACAAGATAGTCGTCCACACATCTCAAGAGTGATTGGTGGGTTTGTAAAGAAACACAGAAGAGAATGACGAACAAAAATACAAAACAGAAATAAATAAATAATTGAAGACAGAAATCTTCATATTCACCGCTGTGAAAACCTCAAATCATAAATTGATGATTGACGAAAGAGAAAAATATGTGAGTTACAGAATAAATGGAATACAAAACAAGTTAGGAACTGTACTAAGAGTGTAATATTTCTGAAGGGTTCTCCAGAATTTGAGCCCCGACCTTCACGAATAGCGCCATCGACTTCAGAGTTGTCTGGGGTCAGAGATCCTTGAATGGGTGAAGTCAAGCCTGCCCTAATGTGGTTGTTAAAATAATCTGATTGAGGTGAAAATTGAAATGACTGGACAGCTTTTCCAAAAATTCTCCTGTATCAAATGTCATCAAAATCTGTGTATCTATTCTCCGGTTGTTTCATGAGTACGAACAGACGGGCGGGCGGAGTAATTTTAACAGGCGCCTGAAAATGCTCTCAGTTGGAATGGTTCATTAACAGATGCCATCTAGTGCGAAGTCACGTTTAGAATTACTCGACGCCATGTTGTTTTAACAAATGTTACATATTTTTCAGTAGGCCTATATTTACTTCACACAGTTAATAAATCCTACGTTATGTGGCGCTAATGTCTTTTTCCAACCCAGAAATTTGCTCGGCCATTGTTCGACATTTTTGTCCGAAAACAGTAAAGTTTCCAATTGCACGACTTTTTTTAACTTATCATTTCGTTCGAAAGTCAAGGACGGGTAGACACATGGACATTGTGAAACCATTTGGAAAGATTTTACTATAAACTGGGAAAGGTAGTCTGACATTTTATTCCATGTTTGCTACTTTCTTCTTCATGGTTCCACGTTTCGAGTATAATACCTCACCCTTGACATAGAGGTTACGTCTAAAAGAGGTCTTTAAATCCTGTTCCACGATGGGCGTTCTACAGTTATTTCATTCGGTTTCTGGATGCACGCCACTGAGAGTCGTCATTCTTCAGTCTCCTGGATCATCGACTGGACCATTTCAGTGATATTAAGGGCTGCGTGAGAGGACGCATCCTGGTACTTGAGTGTTTCACAGAAACCCTGTCTGTTCCCTATAAGGCATTATCGAAGGAAGAAGCTTTGAAAACAATAACTACTCCCTAAGGACCAATGATAAAGTAGACTAGGATGATCGTGCTGAGAGATTCTTCGCGTCGAAGCTCTGTAGTTTCCGTCCCAAGTAGCTTCATGTTTGCTGGGATTGAAAAGACAGGGACAACTCACGTGCTGGTAAAAACACAAAAACATTAGAAGATTATTACGAGAGAATTTTAAACGTAAGGGAATTTTTCGTGTAAAATACAGGTAATATATCAAACAGAGCTCTCACACACGTTACGCGTACTGCATCCTAAGCCAAGTCTACATTCATGTCGTCGGGTAACCATATGTTGATATTAATCTGTTGTGGTTACGTTCAGCGAAGCTAGTGTAAACATGTTGGCTCGTCTTTCGATTTGCACCGATGTTGAGCAACGGGCCGTCATTCGACAGAAGAAACATATACAGCATGGAAATAACTATCACGCAAAGAAAAATGTACCAATGGTTCCGAAGTGTCAGGACAAGCGTTGTTACTGAAGACCGCTCTGGCCTAACGGCGGACAATGTTGAACGAGTTAATGCTCTGTTCAAGAGGACCGCACACAAAATGAGTTATTTTGCATCGCGACGGCGCTCGACCTCATACGGCAGCAGCAACTGTTGAAACAATCAGAAAACTGAAATTCTAGCTTTTCCCTCGCACAGCATACAGTCAAGATCTCGCCTCATCTGATTGCCATATTTTCGGATAATTACATGATTGCTGATTTTCAAATGACGCGGAGCGTACGTGGCTGCGCACGCAACCG